CCTTGTTTAAGTCGGTTTGAATCGCTTATTTTATATTTAATTTAAATACGGATGATTGACTGCTTTTGACTTTTCTATGAATAATAAACTTTGCACGCATTTTTTTATTATGTGATAATAAAACTGCAACTGTTCCTTTTTTCTTAACGTTTTGTATTTTAACATACGATTTTGCTTGAGGTTTCTGCTACTGATTCTACGAAACGTCTAACTCAAATTGTTCGATCTGAAGTAATAATTTATCAAAGAGGCTATCAACGGTACATTCCATGCAAACGGCATTTATGAAGTAAAGGTGGAAGGGGGGCTACTTTTTTGATTTCGACTATCCAGACCACCGATTTACAGGTTTAATGATTTTTTAAGCAGGCAAGCGCAAGAAATAGAATTTACACTACACAACTTTATCGGAATTTGATGCCACTTTGAAACAGCCTCCTAAATTTACTTACCTTTTTGTTTCTTATCACTACAGAAGTATAATCTGCCGTTCTGGGGGAAATTTGACTTATTTCATCGTCGCAATAAAAAATATAATTACCATGAAGTCTGCTAAAAAAAGTTTTAATAACCACGAATTCTCTCTGAGATTATTTGTTGATTTTTGAATTGTCTTAGGGCGAGTTTTTACTCTTCCGTTTTTTCACGGTAACGGGACGGGAAAAGTTATCACGTGGGCATGCGTAGTATAAGTTTTAATATGTCCGAAGGAAAACTACGCATGCTCACGTGATTATTTTTCCCTTTCCTTTCCCGTTCCCGTGAAAAAATGGATGAGTGGAAACTCACCTTTAGTTAATGGTTGAGTTTCATTGAGTAAACAGCGCAACAGTTCCTTTTTTTAAACAGGACTTTTGGGAAGAGAGTGATTCATTTTTTTCATATACTTTCCTTTAACTTGCATATTTGCACACGATGAATGAGTTGATTCCACAGACGAAGACACGTCTTTTTGCCGTATTTAGAGATTTAGTACGTAGAGATTTTCTAATTCTTTCTAAACTTTTTTTTCTTTCAGCTGCGATTTTTCGAAAATCTTTTTTCAACCTTTGTCTTCAAAGTCTTGCGTTTTCTTTAGCTTTGTATTTCGTCATGATTTCTACTAATATAATTCCTTAAATTCAGTGCTTTTCTATTTTTTATCTTGATGGCTGTAATAAAAAAAGTAAACCAAAAAAAAAAAAAATTTAAATACAAATACAAATAAATTTTAAAATAATTTAAAAGTTCTATAAAGTTTACACAATACACTCCTTTTTTATTTAACTGGTTCCTGAAATAATTCCATATTTTTAAATTGACTATATGTCTAAGTTTTGAAGTTTCAAATAATTTTAAATCGAATATAAATGTTTAAAAGTTAAAAATATATTTGGCAAAACATTTTATTGCATTGAAAAAAACAAATAAAATTTGCGACATTTAACGATTTAGTTTTGGCAGTCAGCTATACAACACGAAGTTTAGTTTTGGCAGTCAGTTATACAACAGGAAGTTTAGTGGATTTCTAAAATTTACGTTTAATTTGATGCCAATTTTTTTTTTTTTTATTAAAACAAAACTTTAAAATGGCAAATTAGCTTAAGTAAATTACTGACAAGAATAAAAAAAAACTAAAATTGATGGAAAAAACAAACTTTTCCTACCCAGCAGTCAGCTACGTGATTATTTAAGAAACTAACTCACTTATATCGCGCAAAATAGTTAAAATTTAAACGTTGACGCTAAACCATTTTAGCGGTCGACCCATTTAAAATTAATTGCTAAAATTAATTTTAAATGGGTCGAAACCAAGGTATTAAAAAAATAATGATAGTTAAGCACTTTTTTGTAAAATCAAAAAAAAATTGGTGATCGCAGTGCATTCCTGAGGAAGGGGATCACCATTTATCCGCTACTTAATTTTAATTGGTTATTATGGCACCAACATTTTTTTACCTCTTACACCCATGAATTTTTGCGTTTTGTGAGTTTTTTATTATGAATTTGTTACATTAACAACATTTGTATTTTTTTTTGTTACACAGGTGATTATTAGTTTTCAATTTATTATCTAGAGTTTAAATCATATATATAGTACTACATTTATTAATATATAGTACTACATTTATTAGACATTTGCATGGTGCGATTATTTTAGTTATGGATACCATTAATAAACCAGCGGATTTTTATTGACTTGTTTACTCATAGATCATTGTTTTATCATTTGCTAAAGATGACTAGAGTGTGAGTTTTGGTTTCTCTCTTCCTCAGATGCTAACTTTTATTCCTCCTACTAAATAGTCTTTACATTAGTTTATGTTTTTTTTTTACTTAAATGACATCATGTTCAATCTGTTTTTATTTTCACATCTCCCAGGTCTGCGTTACTGGACGGCTCCGTTCGTCGCTTTTTGCGATAATTGTGTTGCATTAAAAAAAATTATAGGCTTTTCCTCTTACTTTAAAATTTATATATAACTTATTCTATTTATTTTTTTATTCTTTCATTATTTTTAAAGTCATTTAAAACTATATACTAGTTGTTAGAACAAAAGAAATTCCTAATTGTAATTTTTGAAAACGAGATATATACGAAAAAGCTTTTGTATATAGCTCGCGAACTATTAAAACAAAATCGTAAATGGTCATAGGTCTTGGATTTATGGCCATCCAATTATCACATGCAACATTGTAAAATCTTTTCAATGGTACAAAAATAGTTTTATCCATTGTTTACAATTTATTAGCGCATTGGGGAGAAAAACCTATTGTAATTCCATGTTAAATTGATCCAAAGCTCTAACAAAAATCTGACTTTTATTTTTGATCAGATGTAACAAAGCTGGAGATTAATGAGAAAATTTGAATACCTAACAAATTGTTTTATCCATACTATAAAAATGTCTGAATTTATCCAACCAAAAAGATTTGCTAATCCCACACATCCAGGAGGACCTTTTTTTTTATCATGTAATTATAAAATTTTACCCTAGGAAAAACAAATAGTTGAAGATTAGAGTTTCCAATTGCGTTTGAAGCACAATATACAGTCACCAATGTTCCTTGTTCTACAAATGTGGTTATTCCTACTTGTTTACATCTCTTACCTGCTAACACTTTTTCTGGATTTTGTACTTTTGTTAAACTTGTTTTATAAACGTTATATATGCAATAAGGATCAAAATTATGTTGCTTTCTTACTGTTTTTGAATTTTTGAAAAATTATCCTACAATGTGTTGGTTAGAGGCAGTTAATTGAGCAAAACTAGTTGCTTCAGGTTTTCGTAAAGACCTTGCAACCAATCAACCCCTGCAACTTTTTTTTGATCTATGATAACGGGCAAATCTTATTGTTTTTTACAGCAAACTCATATTCCATTAATCGTGTTAACTTGTTTGAAAGTCCATAGTTCATTTTTGAAGCAAGTAGTAATTAACATTTAAGAAAAAAAAACATTTAAAGGTATGGAAACTTTACTTTACTGGTAGCATATTGGAAAATAAATAAACTTGATAGAAATGGTTTTGGCTAATTTGGTTTTTTACTGATTCGCTACTTTGCATTGAACTTGCATGCTACTATTTATCAATATATATATATATATATATATATATATATATATATATATATATATATATATATATATTATATATGCACATATATATATATATATATATATATATATATATATATATATATATATATATATATATATATATATACTTTTTTTTTTATTAGTTGATTTAGGTGCCCCAAGAAGTCCTTACAGTCTTATCACAGAGCACCGCGGAAAAGCATTTAATAGGAAGTTCACGCCTCCTTCCCAACCGATGTCGCAAAACTTGCCACAAAAATTCATCACTGCATTTGATCTCCTCCATTAAACTAAATTGTTTTTAAAATACTTATAGAATATTTTATTATTTTTTATAATATAACAAATAAAAAATAAAATTTTAAGTGTATAAGAAGCAACAAATTTATAAGAAGCAAATGGATTTAAGATAGAAAACTATATAAAATATGTCAAAATTCTACAAATTAAATTGCCGCTGCAAAACAAGACTTAAGTCCGTTTTGCTGTTCTGAGAAAAAGACATTTAAAGTTTTAAATTTAATCACTGCTTTTGATTTTTTTAAATTTTACTATTTTTAAGTCTACTTGTTTTTAGTTATTTATTATATGTGTTTAGTATTTTAAACCAAAAAAGTTTTTTTTCTTGACAAAAAATGGACTTTAGATAGTTTTGTTGTACAGCAACGATGTTTCTTAATTATTTTTTTTAGGACATAACATATTTGAGTTTTACTCATAGTTGCAAAAGTTGAATCATTTTTGGTTCCATACTTTGTGAGATGACTTTTGTGCACCTTAGGAGTATTTTAAACCAAAAAAGTCAATTTTGCCAAAAATGGACTTAAGATTTGTTTTGCAGCGATGATATTTTGGTTAATGCAGAAATTTAAAATTTCATTAACCCAGCTGGCACAACTTAGAAAAAGTTACGCTTGTGTGTCTAAAACAAAAAGATTAACACATTTCATTCCTTGAAATTAACTATTACAATTTACCGAAAATACTAGTTAAAATAATAATGGTTTCACCGTTACGAAAAAGTAGTAGTGTATCATAATAAATTTCCTATGAGATGTGTAACCATTGGTAAAAGCATTTGGCTCAATAAGCACGTGTTAAACGGCCCGTAATATACGCGTGTTTTTGATTTACGCTTGGATCGTGACAAACATGTGTTTATAAAGATATTTATTCTGAAAAAAAATTAGTTGTGCCGGTACGGAACTGTCTTAAATACTTTAGAAGGCTCTATTATTAGGTTTTAACCATTTTGTTATTTTCTTAAGTTCCTCTCTGTTTATAAGTTCTGAAATATATTTTTAATAAAGTACACAAAAAAAAAAAAAAAGCAAAAACCTAGCATTATTGCAATTCTAAAACAGTTATTTGATATGCAAAAAAAAAAAAAATTTAGTTTAAAAGTATATATAACTTAAATCAAATCAAATCAAATATATTCTGAATATATATTACTTTGGCTACCTTAAATAAATATTAAAGAAAAAACGTTTTTTTGTATGTACGCAAATATATTAGCAAAAATTGCATGTCTTCTTGCAGTTTTCTTTAATAAAATTGGTTGGTTTGCAGCCCTGTTTTTTAGCATTAAAACAAAAGTCTTTGACAACAGGTCGGTCTGTGCATCCTAAATAATAAATAAAAATAATTAATAAACAAAAAGTTTATTAATTATTTATAAAAACAGTTCAAAATATTTAAAGGTTAACAATAACTAAAAAATATATACCTGTTGGGCTTGGAGTTGGTTTTTTAAATTGATTTGGAACCAAATTTGTTTGAGTTGAGTTGCAGTTGTAATATTTATTGAGCTGTTTTACATCAGTTTGACTTAAAGATGTTCTTTGTCCAAGTACCTCTTTTGAATCTGATAGAGACTCAATAGTTTTTGATCCATTTATGCTAAATGCGTAACTAAAATAAATAAGGTTCTAATCAATGTTTTAAACATAAAATCCGCCTTACACGATGCTTCGTGACGATGCTTTTGCCTAATATTGGTACACAAAAATAGATTATTTAAACATTTTTAAAAACTATCAAATTAAAAATATAAGCACGAGTATGCAAACACCTGTCAATAAATATTAAAGGTAAGATTGAATCTGACGTACTTATCGTAATGCATTATCGATTGTTTATCGTACGGTTCTTCTAAAGTTGATGCTTCACCATCTCTATACATATCAAAGTTATACTTCATATCTGTAAAAAAGATAAAAAAAAAAAAAAAATAGAGAACCCAAAATAAAACGTTTTCAAAAAATTTAATTTAGGTAAATCAAAAAAAAAGGAAAATAACATTAGATAAGCACGTTAATGAGGTAAAAAACAAACATTTCTAAGGAATCTGATGAGACAGAGTATGTATTATTTTCCGAGTCATATATTAAGATAAAAACTCACCTTTTTTTATGTTATCATAGTTAATTTTTATATAGGAGTCCCTATCTCTTCTAGATTGTTCGTGGAAAAATCCAAGGGTGTGCATTATTTCATGTAAAGCTATTCCCTTGTACCCGCATCCTTGCCCTAAAGAAATGTCTTGTTTTCCACCTTGCTTTCCAATTAGTGAATAACATCTATAGAGTTGAATTAATTTAAAAGTTTTATTCAATTTGAATCACATTAAAAAATATAAGGGTTTAAAATTTTTTATTCATTTGATAAATTTTTTGGTGTTTTTAAAATAAGGGGTAAATATTTATATGGTTTATAGTAATAAGAAGCCAATAAGCTATAAAAAGAAGCTATAAAAAGCTATAAAAAGAAGCTATAAAAAAAAGAAAAATAAAAGGCTTTATTTTAAAAAATTTTTTAAAACATACCCTACATCTCGAATAAAAGAAATATAAGACAGTTCTGTTGTTCTTTCAACAAATTTTATGCAGGTTTTTTCCATAAACTCATATAGCGCATCTTTAATAACTGAAACATCTTCTTCGGCTAAATAAATTAAAAATAAATAAAAATAATAAAAAAATAAAATTTAACAGTATTTTAAAACTTCAAACCCTACTCTATGAAAAGACCGTCAAAACTGAAACTATATAAAATAAATTTAACAGTATTTTAAAACTTCAAACCCTACCCTACCTACCCTAAAAAAATGAATATATTTACTCATTGTGTCAGATATTATGTATGGGACTATCGCATTTGGCCAAGCACCGCTTTGGATTGCGTCAAATGCGCTCGTCTCTTTGTCTTTATTTTTCATTTTATCAATTACTGACAAAAGTTTTTTAGTTTTTACAATATCTCCTTCCATAAGATCCACATCTAAAATTAAAGTAATATAACAATTAATTTTAAACTTTGAAATATACCCAGCTGGCACAATTCAAAAAAAATTTAAGCTTGGTTTCTGTTAAATGTTTAAGACCTTCTAAAACAAAAAGAATACGTGAAGATTATTTTTCATTCCGTGAAATTAACTATTACTATTCACTAAAAATACCAGTTAAAATATAATTGGATTCATCGTTACGGAAACGTAGTATTATGTTATAATAAATTTCCGTTAGGAATGTGAAACCAATGATAAAACCATGGGACACTTAAATTTGACATTAATATCTCAAATAACACGTGTTAAACTAGAGTAAAACTCCCCGTAATATACAGGTGTTTTTGGTTTATGCCAGGATCGCGACAAACACGTGTTTATACAGGTTTTAGTTTTGAAAAAGAAATTCGATGTGCCGGTTCGGTCATTTAAAAAAATTTGTTTTCCCAACTGGCAAAATTTAGTAAAAATTTACGCTTGGTTTCTGTTGTGAGTTTAAAACCTTCTAAAGCAAAAAGAATAACACTTGCAAAGAATAGTTTTCATTTTGTAATATTAGCTATTAATATTTACATAAAATACAAATTAATTATATTATTAATTATAATAATTATATTAACGGTTTTGCTGTCACGGAAACGTAGTTTGATATTAGGGATGTAACGGAGGTTTATCGGAGGTGTTACGAAAGTTTACTTTATTGGAATCAAAATATTTTATAGCAAAATGCATATGTAAAAAAGATGCTTCAGAGCTTTAACTTCGATAGGTTTGATTTCGATTGATCTCAAGTTCTGATGATTTAAATTAGACGTTATAACAAAGATCAAATGTGAAAATGTAGCGCATTCTATCGAACTTGTGATTTTTTGATTTAAGAAACTTTGTTTTTATACTTTTACTTTTTAAATTTAAACTGAAACATTTGTTAAAACTTTATTTATAAACTAGGAATTGAAAGTCTTAGTTTAAATCTCCTTCTCCGATAAACCTCCTCTACACATCCAATACACCTCCGTTACATTTCTATTTGATATTATACTAAATTCCGTACATAATCTAAAGCCAGTGATAAAGGCACGCGACATTTTTATTTGACTTTAATACCTCAAAAAAACAAGTGTAATCTTGACTAAAACTACCCGGATTTACCCGTGTTTTTTTGGTTTTCGTCTGGGACTTAAAAAACACGTGTCTATACAGATTTTAATTCCAAAATTAAAACTAGACGTTTCGGCTGAGTTAAATGAAAAAAATCATTTTTAAGTATTAACAACTATGTCCCGTATATTTTATAATGAAACATTTTGACATTATTTTATGTCTAAATTATTTTCTGCTGACATATTTTGACATATTTTAAGTTTTATATTCTTGAAAAAAAAATCAAGCTATTAATTTAGTAACGTACTTCAGAATAATTTGATGAATAAAATAAAAATGTGTTATTTTAACAAATTATTAATTCAATATACAAGTTAGATTTGTTCTTCAAAATTATAAAACAGCAAATAATTTAGGCTTAAAATTATGTCAATATATGTTTACAAAAAACATGTCGGAAGTATTTTATGTTATCAGAAACAATTCAGATATAAATTGTCAAAAATAAGTTAAGAAAATATGCTTGACATATTTTATGTCAGCAGAAAATATTTTAGACACAAAATATAGTCAATAGAAAATATATGGGTGATATTTTGTATCATCAGAAAATAATTCAGACATAAAATTATGTCTAAATACGTCGTGAGAAAATATGTAGCAAAAAATATGTCTGAAAATATGTTGACAGATCTACCGAAAATCGGTCGTAATCCTGCATCCACTTCCGGTACAACCAGAACCAACTTGTCTAATTTATCGGCATGATAATTGTCTAAATTATCGGCATACATACAACCAATTAAACTAAAAAAAAGCATTTCATATTATCTTCAACAAGTGACAGAAGAAGTCTTATTGAATTTGCTGAGCAAAACGGTGACTTTATAATAGTCTGGGATATGATGTTGTGGCGGGAATTTTTCTGGGTATTTCTGTTTCGTAAAAATCTGTTAAACTAACGGCGAACTTAGCATAACTAACTTTAGTACTTTTATAAAACAACTTCTATCAGGCAAAGAAAACCCTAACGCAGAATGGAGGTAAAACGCTTACGTAAAATGGAGGCAAAAATAAATAAATTTTTGTGAGCTAATAAAGTATTAAATTTAAATTTAAAAATGTCAAAAATAAAGAAGAAATAGCAGAAAATAAAGCATGGGTGAGCTAAAATTGTAGCTAGGACGCAAACTTTAGATTTTAAATATATACATAAACAGCTTACAATCGGGTTCACCGTGTAAACTCAAATTTTATCGAAAGAGGTAGTTTTAAACCAAAAAAATTGACCGAGGATTAAATCCAAGAAATGCCAACATGGATTGAAATTAAATTGACATTGATGGCCATGAAAACAAAAAATATTAAAACAATTTAATATCAGTATCAACACAAAAATCGACATTTCTTAAGTTCTTATCGTGCTCACCACTTTCTTACTCCGGGTTCTATTCTTTATCTATATAAATCTTAATTCCGTCCTTGTATGGAATACTGTTGCCAATATGTGGAGCGGATCTTCGAATGACGCCCTTTCTATTTTAGAAAAAAGTGCAAAAACGCATTGTAAATATATTGGACTTGCTCTTGCAGCCAACCTTCAACTATCATCACATCCTCGTAATGTTGTTTCTCTTTCTCTTTTCTATTAATCTATAATGGGCGCTGCTCTAAAGAGCTACCATCTCTTGTGCCATCTACTAAAATTCATGCTCGTGTTACTCTTGATTCAATTAAGTCATCTTTTTACTGTGACTGTTGCTAAGAGCTCCAAAAATTCTTATTTGCATAGTTTCTTTCCTCGAACATCTCTGGAATTCTCTGCCTTCTTCTTGTTTTCCTGATTCATATAATTTATAATTTTTTAAGTCGTCTGTTAATCGTTATCTTTCTTAATAAACTTCATCTTTTCTCTTTATAATCCAGTAGCTTTTAATTCTAACAGTGGTTGCTTGCAGCCTTGTTGTAAGTGAATATGTTTAAAAAAATTGAATTTAGAAAATAATAATAGAATTAAGAAATTTATTATAAAAGTTAAATTTAAAACTTTATAATAGAGTGTATAAATATTTACATTATAATAATCTATTTTATGACAAGCAATTTTGCTTCAAAAAATACAATTTTATTAAACATGCAATCATTAAATTCACAGGTGAAATCACTTTCTCCCTTTCTTTTGAAAATTCTTTTGAAAGACATTTATGTTAAAAAAGGTTTTTATTATGTTGAAAGGTTATTATGTGGTATCAAACCAAAATCAATTTGTTTCTTTTAATCATGGGGATCGATATGAATTAGATGTTTTTTTGTTTTTTTAGATAAGACACTTTCACACATTGTGCATAGTCCAAACTTAGTTATGTTCATACCTATGCCAAATGATGAGACCTTGCAAAAATTTGGGATGGCGAAAGCCAAAAAAAGCCCTAAAACGCTGGGCTCTCCTGCCCAAACGTGAGGGCACTAATATAGTAAAATTTTCAACTTTACTATTGTAAACTAAATTAAAATTTATCAACAGATTTTAAATTTCTTTAAAAAATATTGTAAATTTAGTAAAAGTTATGACCTTGGAAATTTTCCGACCCCCGAAATGAGGTGGGTGTAAACTTTTGCATAGTCATAAATTTTGTAATTTACAAAATTTTTCTACGAAATTTAAAGTCTGTTGATAAATTTTCCGACCGATAAGAAGGTGTATATTTTGCATGGTCATAACTTTTGTAATTTACAATATTTTTCTACGAAATTTAAAATCTGTCGATAAATTTTAATTTAGTTTACGATAGTAAAGTTGAAAATTTTTCAACTTTATATAACCTCAAAAATAACCTCTTTCTTTCTAATAATGATATCTCCAAATATTTTTCTACTATGAATTCCGAGCTTAAAAATAAATTCTAAAAAGTTGTACTGCTCTGATTAAAGATTTTCAAATCTTTAAATTTAGAAATGATTTGAAAACAAAAATACGATAAAAAATAAATAAGTGAATAAAAGAAAAATAGGTAAAAACAAAAAAATAAAGCAAAAAAATTAAAAGGGAAAATCTAAATTAAGAAATATTATATTAGAGTTGTTTTGACTTGTAAAAAATTCCGTGTATTGGCAAACAAAGTTTGAATTCTCTGAAATTTTTGACTTTATCGTTGTATTCATTTTCTTCATTTTGCTTTATAATAATGTTTAATTTTACATTCAATTTTCTTCAATAAATATTCCAAATAAAAGTTTAATTTTTGCAATGACACTTCATTTTATTACATTTTAAGTTAAATTGGATTGAAAAATGTATTTATTTTGGTTTGATTGTCTATAGAAACTGTGTAAAACATAGCTTCCTTCCGTCTAAATTGTTATCGAGGATTTTGGGTATCCACTCTATTTGTACAGCCTTAAGGTTTTTTGACTAAATTTATAATTTTAGCTCACCCATGCTTTATTTTCTGCTTTTTCTTCTTTATTTCTGACATTTTTTAATTTAAATTTAATACTTTATTAGCTCACAAAAATTTATTTATTTTTGCCTCCATTCTACGTGAGCGTTTTACCTCCATTCTACGTTAGCGTTTTCTTTGCCTGATAGAAGTTGTTTTATAAAAGTACTAAAATTAGTTATGCTAAGTTCGCCGTTAGTTTAACAGATTTTTACGAAGCAGAAATACCCAGAAAAATCCCAGACTTTTATAAAGCCTACTACAAAAACTGTTTTTTTTTAAAGTCTAAGAAGACCTTACAGTTTTATCACAGAACATCGCGGAACAGGTTTGATCAGGAAGTTCACTTTCACCTTTCACCTTCATTACCGCTTTTCACGTTCATCTTCATTACCAATTTTGCTGAGTTGAGTTAGAATCAAATCTCATACTACATGGTTCTTAGCCAAATTTCTAACCACTGGGCTACAACTGTTTTTAATCTATATTGACCATAAAAAGTTGAAAAACATAAAAATAACTAATAATACCAACTTCTACAGTATTTTTTTTTATTTGAATTTTTAATCTATTTTTATTTTATTTTTATTTTTGTGTGTGTGCCTTTTATATAGTTGGAGGTGCCTTAGTTACCATGTTAGCTCACCTGTACTTTACTTTATATGTATGTTTGTGTTCTGTTTCAACCTCTGGCACAGTGTTCATTCATCTGAAAGTTACTTTATGAATGTTTATGTTCTGTTTAAATCTCTTATAAAGTGTGAGCTCAGTAACTAACTAATTACTGCAACTATAAATTTAACGCTTGCGTTAATCTCTTGTATTTTTTTAGATTTAATGTTTTTCCGAAATCTTGCTTAATGTTTTAAACTACTGTGTACAGGTAGTAACTCCTTTTACCTACTCCAGGTCAGGTCAGGTTCACAACTATCACGATGACCCTACTACTGGTATTATGTAACCGAGTACTACCTGCCCCATGCCCTGCTGCTTTTTAGAGTTTGCTTTTTATGCAAAGATTAGGAGAAACAAACTCCTGCTTAAAAATCCACTGCTTTAGGGCTCTTGATTGAGTAAATGCTAGAGATAGTGTTTTGATAAAAATACTCATCTTGGAAAAATAGCATAAGTTATATAAGTAAATAACAAAACTAGCATAAGTTCAAACTAGCATAAGTGCAAATTGGCATAAGTGCCCCGAATAAAAGAGCAAATATTAACATAAAAGTATAATTTTGGCATTTCGCACTTGTGCCAATGTTAACAAATTCTATTGGCGTACTCACATTTATGCTGATTTACTCTTATACCAGTTTTTGCAACAGCTTCTTACTTATACCAGTTCACACTTATGCCAATATTTGCAAATTCTTTCGGTGCACTTATGCCAGTTTTTGCAACAGGTTTGCAATTATGCCGATTCGCATTTATGCTAGTTCACACTTGCAACTGGTTTGCATTTATACAAATGCTTGAAAATTCTTTTGGTGCATATATGCCAGTTTGCAATTATGCCAGTTTTTGCAACTGCTTTGCACTTATGCCAGTTCGCAATTATCCTAGTTCGCACTTATGCCAGTTTGCACTTTTGAAATTCGGGCTTATTCAGTCGTCCCGTTTTAAAAACAAGCATCGGAAAGTACTGCAAGTTAAATCTTTTTTTTGATTGAGCGTAACAAACAAATACCAAAGTTTTTAACGGCATCTCGTAAAACCTCAAATATTCAAAGATACCAATTTCACTTAAATTTTTAAGAAGGCAATATCTTTATAAAAATTTTTATACATTTTGCTTGGAGCCTGTTTAAATAGAAATTTCATTTTTTGATTTTTTATCGGGCTTAAAAATTAAGTATTTTACAGATATGTATATCGAGTTGCGCTACTAATCTAAAATGTGTATTTACTGTTGTTCTATTTTTTAATTAAAAAAGCAATGTTATAGTTTATAAAATACTATTTATAACTTTTAGATATTAATTATAGACAATGATATATAAAAATAATAGATAAAACTAAATAATTCTTGCAATATGAAAGGTATTTTAGATTTTACACTTTGAAACAAACCACTTGGCAAAATACAGGTGGTCAGTGATGATAATTTAAAAACAAAAAAAACAAAAAAACTTACTTTCATTACCAGAGATTGTACTAGATTTTACTAAAATAAAAAGAATTTATAAATAATGTATTATTTAAAAATTAATCTAAATAAATCAAACTTAGTAATACATTTAAAAGATATTTTTTTTATTACTTAAATTTTCAATTTTCAATTTAAATTTTCTTGATTCTAATTTGTAATTAATTTATTTAAATTATCCTTAATTCTAAATTAAAATAAAAAATAGATAACTTTCAATATAATTTACTCAAAATTCAAGTTCTGTTTGTCAAACAAACTATTATTTTCTTTTAAGTGCTAAATATACAGTTTGGCCCCTAAGTCTGGCCCATCTCCTTTTTTTAGCCCAGAAATTAACTTTTTTTTATTTACAAGAAACTTTTTTAATCAACATACATTCAATGTTATAGAAAATTACAAACAGAATTAAAATTATTTGCTCTATTTCACTCTATTACTAGCACGAATTTCCTGGACACTTTTTATTTAATTTTCAATTACTTTTTGACATTAATTTAAAAAAACTACCTCGATGACTGTTTATTTTGATTATTGTATGAAAACCATCTTTGTTTTTATCATCAGTTGATAGAGGTTTGCACACAACTAAAAAAAAAAAAAATTAAATATCCAAATTTATTTACAGTTGCTATTATTTTTTTTTTAATATATTTAAAATAAAATAATTATTTTATTAGTTATATAACGTAAGAATACATATATAAAATGAAAACAACAACAACAACATTAAAAGATAATTTTAAAAAATCAACACAAGTTAAAACTTAAACTAAAATAAAAATAAATTTACCTGTGACTAATAGACAAGCAAACAACATAAAATTTTCCATTCTAAAAAATATAACAACCTTGTTTTAACAATATATATATATATATATATATATATATATATATATATATATATATATATATATATATATATATATATATATATATATATATATATATATATATATACTATAATTACAAAATTAATTACTGTTTGAAAAAAAATATAATAAAACTTGTTCAAAATTAAAACAATTTTACCAATGTATATTATACAAAAATTTATAAAACCCGAAAAATAACTTTAAACCAAAATAAACGGTAAATTTTATTTGTATTTTTTATAGTAAGCCAGTATAACAAGCAATGTAATATTATTTTTATGTGTACCAAAAACAATATGTATCGGTTTTTGATTATCTAATAGTTTATTAAACGTTACTTAAAGATAATGCTATCATGAGATTTTGTAAAACTGAAATTTTTTGGAAGTTAAATTTACAAAAATATCACAACTAAAATAAAGCGGTTCCTTGATGACAAGACCATATGAATCTCTAACTTGAAAAAGGGGACATGATGTGTGAATTTTTGCAGGACATGTCTTCTTTTTCAAGTTAGCGATTCATATGGTCTAATGCAAGTTTCCCGCGTTCTTTTAACAGCGATACTTATTGTCTTTATTACTTATGCGAAAAAAGTTTTTTCTTTTGTACTAAATACTTCTTATTATATGAAGGATATATAATTTTTATTTTACATATTGTAAACGAATTAATTTATACTTACAATCACGATTTTGTAACGATTTAATATAATAACAAAAAAAAAAAAAAAAAAATTGACGTATATTTACTATTTTAGCAATATTTCTTACGGTACTCTTGCAATTCCTGCAATACTCCTGCAATATTTCTTTTATATAATCATCAAATATTTTAAACAATGTATTTAATATTTTTAGTAATATGGAATATATATATATATATATTTTTTCAATATACTTTTTATAAAGTATCATTCATACTAAAATTCTAATGCATTATATAAACAGTGAAAATCTGTAACTGCGTTGTTTGCTTAACATTTTAATAACAACATTTTAGATAGCACTCATTTTGTAAAATCATTATTTAAATATTGCTGTTTACGTAAAAGTGAAGTTCAAATAAATAAAATCTGATGTCGTATTACTACGTCACTATTATGCACTGTCAAAAATGTGACGACAATAAATATCTTTTAGTCGGTTTTAAAAACTAATTCTAACAAAAGGAAATTTCTAACAAAAAAATTAATGCGCAGTGTTCAAGAATTTTTTTCCGTTATCAAAATTACTAAAAATATCAATTTTTTAAAAGTTGTTTTTCTTACATTTTTGCAACATAGGTCCTTTATTCTACTCAAAATTGTATCGGTTCAATTCTTAGATATAAAGCTCGATAGAACCCATTATAAAGGCTTTAAGAGCTTTTAGTTTTCACCTCTTTTTTTTTGTCAATTTAAAGTTAAAAGTTTCAATTTAAAAAAGTGCCTAATTTCAATTTTCAAACTTAAGGCAATTTTAAATTTACACAACACAGCATTGCGGAATAAATATTTTGTCTAAAAACTTGAAAGTTTGAAATTGATTTAAAACCCAAATTGATAGTCGTAGCTGATTTTAATTAATAATATTAAAACTATTATCAAACTGTTGAGAATGATTTCTTATTTTGTTTCCAGTAACCGTTATCATTTAATATAATTAAAAAAATAATAACTGATTGGAAGGAAATTGAATCAGCTTAAAAGAAAAACAACTTTCCGATATCACGATCGATATAACTAGTAAATAGCGCCAATATGGCTATAACGAACTAAATAACAATTATGTGGCGACTATTTGAACAATAGTATTTTTGTTATTGAACGAAAATTTTGTATAAATAGAGTTTTGTTGTTGTTGTTTTTAAGATACAAAAATATAAAGAATATAAGTAATATAGTAAATGTAAAAAACGGTTAAGATCTTAAAAATATAAATTATAATACATATTTGGTATTATTTGTGATCGCCATCGGATCATAATTGGTAGCAGAGGGTAGTTTCTTCAACACGGAAGAATGGTAAAAAGAAAAAATCAAAAATCAAATAATCAAATGGAAGATCAGTTAACCGTTCAAAATGAAGTACCTGCATTGAACAGGAAGAAAATAGTTCTAAAGTCTTCGTTTACGCGAACTAAACATCAAATTATTAAGCAAATTGGAGACAATGAACCCACTTGTAAAAATGAGTTACGCGAATTGAGTAATCAATTAACAAAGACTCAAAACGAAGCTCTCGAGATAATGGTTGAATTATCAAAGAAATACGAACTTCTGGAATCAAAAGAAAATGTAGGAAAACTCAATACAGAAATTGAAAACCTAAACGACGAATTTGCGGAAATTAGGGAACATGTAAATGAATGGATATTGCGCAATGGAAGTTTAAAATCAAGTTTAAAACAACAAAAGATGGAAAAAGAACTTAAAATGGAAACAAAAAAGCAATGTTATCAATGAATAAGTACTCAAAAAAGTAATAAAAAGTATGATGAAGATAATAAAGAAGAAAATGGGAATAGCGAAATGGAACCAATCAAATCAACGCATATCATGCGTAAAATGGAAAATGAAATAATTGATTTAGATCAAAAGACTGCAAAAATTGGACATGATTTATGGAAACAACTCAAACGCGTCTCTATACCAATATTTAATGGTGATAAAAAGAACTATGAAAATTGGAAAGCTTCATTCTACGCATGGATTGCTCAAGCCCCAGCGACATCTGAGTATAAATTACTTCAGTTACGTCAATATTTATGTGGAGACGCATTATAAGCAATTGAAGGACTTGGGCATTCGTCATTCGCTTATGAAGCTGCAAAAGAAAGACTTGAAAGAAAATATGGCGGAACAAGGAGAAAAATTCTTATGTATTTGGATGAGTTGAACAACTTTAAACCTATGAGGGAAAATAATCCAAAAGACGTGGCAGTAACAAACTTAAAAGAAGCAAATCGAACAGAAGAACTTGGCGATGGGACATTGTACCATCAATTGCAAAAAAAAGTTCCTGAGATAATGTTAATTAGATACAAACGATGGGTGTATGAAAACAAATTAAACGAAAATGTTAAAACTCTAAAAAAGTTTATTGTTGAAGAAGCAGATTTTCAAATTGCAGCAACCGAAGCTCTACATGGTTTAAAAAAAACTATTGGTAACAAAGCACACGAAGGAAATTCTTACTTTGGTAACAGTGATTAAAAAAAGAAAATAAATTGGATACAGAAATGATCTGTTTGCAAAAACGATCATAAAATATGGGAGTGTCCAACGTTTCAAAATCAAAATATTAAAGAAAGATGGGAGACAGCTATGAAAAATAAACTCTGCTTCAGATGCTTGAATTTTAACCATTCGTCAAAAGAATGCAGGAACATAAGAATTTGTGGGATTGATGGCTGTACAGATACCCATAATCGTTTGCTTCACAAGAAAAGTCATAAAAAAGAAACAATTTCTGAAGACTACAAAGAAAAAGACACAATATTTGAAAATTCTCATACGTCGAACATCCAATTTCATTCAAATTACGTCATGAACTACATATCTCTTAGAACAGTGCCAGTTATTCTTCGTAATGGATATAAAAAAGTTGTGGTAAACGCATTGCTTGACGATGGAAGTACCAAGACATATTTGAACTCTGATGTAGCGGCTGAGTGGTCACTGAAAGGTAAAACCGAAAAAGTAACTTTAAACATGATAAATGGAAAAATTGATTCTTTCGAAACGATGCCGGTAGAATTTCAGTTGGAATCGTTGGATGGAGAAACAAAAATTACAGTAGAAGCTTTTACAGTTAATAATGTAACTGGAAACTTAAAAGCAGTTAATTGGGCAAATATGTCAAAAAGTTGGAAACATCTAAGAAAAATCGAATTCCCAAATATTGGACCAAAACCAAAAATTGACATTCTAATCGGTGTGGATTACGCTGAGCTGCACTGTGCAATTAAGGAAGTAAAACGAGGATTTAATGAACCAGTGGCTGGACTCACGCCGCTCGGATGGACATGTGTTGGTAGTACTGGTGGATCTCTTCAAACCCATTTTACAAAAATAGCATCTAGTACAAAGGAAATAGAAGATGCAAACAACACCATTAAAAAATTATGGGAAATTGAAGGCGACGAAGAGATGCAATTTAGAAAAAAAATGACAAGCCCAGAAGACTCTACCGCCCTTAATATAGTAACTAATTCGCTAAAAACTGAGAACGGAAGATATGAGCTAAAATTACCATGGAAAGGTAATAGACATTTGGACAATAATTATACAATGGCGTTAAACAGATTACAAAATACGGAAAAACGGCTAATGAAAAACAAAAGTCTAGGAGAAGAGTACAATAATATTATTAGGCAGTATCAAGAAAAGGGATACTTGGACAAAATCAATAAAAAGGAGCTTGGAGATGGTCGGTACTTACCACATTTTCCAATTCTTCGTCCTGATAAATCAACTACAAAAGTCAGAATTGTGTTTGATGGATCTGCAAAATTTAATGGTAAATCAATTAATGATGTTATTTATCAAGGTCCAAAACTTCAACAAGACCTTGTGACTGTTTTGCTGAGATTTCGAAAATACCCAGTGGCTTTAGCTTGTGATATAGAAGAAATGTATTTAAAAATTGGAATACATAAAGATGACCAAAGGTACCAACGAATTTTATGGAGAAACCTAGATTCAATTGCCGAGCCTGAAGTATTTCAGTTTAATCGGCTCGTATTTGGAATCAACTCAGCGCCTTTTATGGCTCAATTTGTAACGCAAGAACACGCAAGAAAGTATGCAAAAAATTTTCTTTGGCTTTTGAAGCTGTTCTTGAAGCAACTTACATGGACGACACAATAACTTCTGTAGTTGATGAAAAAGTAGGAACTCAATTATACAAGGAACCCACGCTACTATGGGGTTCAGCAGGAATGTTTGCACGAAAGTGGCTTTCAAACTCGGTCGAAGTTCTTAAAATAGCACCAGAAAATGATCGTGCAGAACATATAAATTTAGATTCTGGAGAATTGCCTGCAATGAAAACACTTGGAGTTGTCTGGAAAGCAAAACCTGATTTATTTAGTTTTCATTCTGTAACAACCGAAGAAAATACGGTATATACAAAACGAATTTTGCTTAAAAAAATGGCAACGTTGTTTGATCCATTGGGTTTTTTGGCACCATATATCATTCGAATCAAAATAATTATGCAGGAACTGTGGATTGATGGAATTGAGTGGGATGATGCAGTTCCGGATAGGATTGCAAATAATGTTGATCAATGGTTTCAAGAACTAAACGATCTCCCAAAATTAAACATTCCCAGATGTTTACAAACAACCTCAACAGTAACAAATAAGTCAATTCATGTTTTTACGGATGCGTCTTGTAAAGCTTACGGTGCTGTTGCTTACCAACAATGTTTATATGATACAGAAGAAGTGACCTGTGTGATCATAATGTCAAAAGCCCGAGTAAGTCCATTGCAATCTATTAGTATACCTAGACTTGAGTTACTTGAAGCTGACCTCGGTTTACGACTTGCAGAGAAGATTGTCAAGGCATTGAAGCTGGAAACTAAGGACGTAACTATATGGTTAGATAGTCTTAATGTTTTATGGTGGATATAAAATCAAAGTCGAAAGTTGAAACCATTTGTTGCCAACCGTGTTGGATTCATTCAATCATAGACTGAACTAAAACAATGGAGATACATACCAACAAAAACTAATGTAGCTGATTTACTAACAAGAAGAACAACAGTTAAAGAATTAGAAAGCAATTATGTATGGTGGCATGGACCAAGTTTCCTTAATTCTTTAGAAGAAAAATGGCCACAGAATCACATTGAAGTTACACAAGAGGCTTCAATTGAAGTAAAGAAAAATTCAGTATTAATGAATTTTGCATTATTCACTGAAGTAACAATTGCTTGATATAAACTAGTTCTCATGATGGAAAAACTTATCAGGATAAACGGCTGGATCCATCGGTTTATAGGAAATTGTCGATTTGAAACAGACTTTCGTAAAAAGGGTGATATAGCAGCTGATGAATATCATGAAAGCGAAAAAGAAATCATAGCTAAAGCTCAAAAAGAAAGCTTTAAAGAAGAATATAGCAACATTGAAAAAGGAAAACCGATATTAATATCAAGCAAAATTATTTCTTTAAATCCGCAAATTGACGAAGACGGATTATTGTGATCTTGCAGTCGATTGCAAAATGCCCATTACTTACCCTACGATGTCAAGTATCCAATCATTTTGCCGAGAGGACATACAATAACAAAATTGATTGTTAAGCATTACCATGACGAAGCCAATCATGTGATGGGAACAAATCAATTATTAACAAAACTATCAGAACGATATTGGGTAATACGAGGACGAGAAGAAATCCGAGATGCAGAAGCAAAATGCAACAAATGTAAATTAAGAAGATGTAAACCTGCTCAACAGCTGATGGCCCCTTTACCAGCAATGCGCTTTAAAGAACCACTACGTGCGTTTGCTAGAATTGGTATCGATTTTGCTGGTCCATTTCTTACTATGCAAGGTAGAGGGAAGATACTTCAAAAGAGATACTTGTGCTTGTTTACCTGTTTACTATCACAAGCAGTACATCTTGAGATGGCTTATAATCTAGATACAAATTCATTCCTCAATGCCTTTTATCAAATGGTCAATAGAAGAGGATTACCATTAGAATTTTTAACGGACAGTGGAACAAATTTTGTTGGAGGATGTCGAGAACTAAACGAAATTGTCAACGACATAGATAAGGATAAAATTACTAACTCTACAGCTGATAAAGGAATCAAGTGGCACTTTAATGCTCCGTTAGGACCTCATCTAGGCGGTGTATTTGAAATAATGGTCAAAGCTGTCAAACGTGCAATGACTGGAATACTCGAAAAAGCCGATATTACAGATGAAGAACTCTGTACGGCATTTACAGGTGCTGAGAGTTTATTGAATTCTCGCCCACTAACATATCAGAGTGCCAATATAAAAGATGATATTCCATTAACTCCAATCTTTTTGATTGGGCAAGTTGGTGGACAATTTGCACCTGACTTAGTTCAATCTAAAGGCTATCATCCTAAAAAGCGCTGGCGTCGAGTGCAAAAACTACTAAGTTATTTTTGGAAACGATGGATGCGAGAATGGCTTCCATCTTTATCTAAAAGATATAAATGGAATCAGAAAAAACGCGAAATAAAAACGGATGACATTGTGTTAGTAATTTCTCCAGAAACATCTAGAGGACATTGGCCTCTTGGTAGAATTACGGGAGTCTTTGAAGGTAATGATGGACGTGTAAGAGTTGTGAAAGTCAAAATTGGCGAAAAAGAATTTATACGACCAATTACGAGATGGTGTCTTCTTGAGTTTGATAATTAAATGTTTGATAGACTGGAGTCTATCAAAGAGGGGGAGAATGATTGGAAGGAAATTGAATCAGCTTAAAAGAAAAACAACATTCCGATATCACGATCGATATAACTAGTAAATAGCGCCAATATGGCTATAACGAACTAAATAACAATTATGTGGCGACTACTTGAACAATAGTATTTTTGTTATTGAACGAAATTTTTGTATAAATAGAGTTTTGTTGTTGTTGTTTTCAAGATACAAAAATATAAAGAATATAAGTAATATAGTAAATGTAAAAAAACGGTTAAGATCTTAAAAATATAAGTTATAATACATATTCGGTATTATTTGTGATCGCCATCGGATCAATAACGGTTTGTGTTTAATAAAGTTCTAAAAAATATTTGTTTTATGAAACAAATTTAAAAAAAGCTAATTTTAAATTATAAATTTAAAAATATTTTTTAAAACAAATACCATAACTATAAATTTGTTTTAAATGTTTGAAAACTATTGAAGTTTGATTTTTTAAAATTTGAAATTTTATCTTAAAGGATATGTGTAGGTATAAGATATAGTGGTCGAAGTAGTTGTTTTTTTTGAAAGCAATTAATATTGTTTAGTAAATGCAAAAACTATAACATGAAACAAACATTTTGTAGTATTTAAAACGAGAAAGAAGTTAAAATTTTAAAAAAAGTTTAAAAGATACTAGTTTATTAATATAAGACATCTTATAAGATGTCTTATTATAAGACAATTTATAAGACATCTTATAAGATGTCTTATAATAAGATAAATTATAAGAGATCTTATAAAATGTTTTGAAAAAAGTTTATCATTTACAATTTAAAAATTTAATTTTAAAATCTACTATAGATCTTTTACAAATATACTTTATTGAAACATAAACACTTTGATTTTTATAGAGAAAATAATTTCTGGGGCATAGCAAAATACTTTATTTAAAGCAAATTGAAGTTATTTTTGTCATAAAGTTAACAAAAACATAAAAAAAGTTATATGTAATAAAAAAGAATAGAATTATCAGGTAAAACAGCTAAGGTCAGCTCAAACAATTAACAAGAAGACTCTCAAAAACTATATTCACATTACATTAAAGTATGTTTTATTGTTTATATATTTTTTTAATATTGAGACTCTTTTTCTCTTTGCAACAACACGCTACACAAAATAATTATTTATTCGATTATAAAATGATTAGGTTTTATATATCTATTGCAATATAAGTGTTTTTAAATAAAGTAAAGATTGTTAATTTACAAATTTAGCACAAAATGTTTTATCTTTCTATGCTAGAATAAAAAAAAACCAATTAGAGTAGTTAAACCAATTACCAAAAAGTTTAAAATTTTAAATCATTGAAACACACAAAAAAATTTAATTTTAACGCTCAAAGAATGAGCAAAATTATTTTGAAAATTCTAAAAAAATTTAAAAAAAAGTTACTTTTTTGTGCTTTATTTTTTTCATAATGAAACATTTATTATGTTTGAAATAATAATTTACGTAATTAATCTATATATAAACTTACTTAACTCAATAAATAAATAGAAACGTATATTACAACCTAGAATATACAAATAACTGGTTTTTTAATTACATTTTTTCTGTTGATGAGGGTCCGTAGCCATTTTTTAATTTCTCCAGTTTATAAAATCTTACTGCGCTTGCGTCGAAACGACTAATTCATGGTATAGCTCACTTAATGAAGGAAAACTAATAGACTTGACAAAAGCATTTGATAGTGTCTCACATCAAAATCTATTAAATTAACTTGCAAAAATAAGACTAAGCTAAAAAGCTGGTAAACTATTTTAAAATAACCAAGAAGGAAGGTTTAGAAAGTGAAAAATGAAAATAAGTTTACCCAGTGGAAGTCAATACCAAGAGGAGTACCTCAATGTGGTGGCCTTAACCCAGAACTGTTCAAAATCAACATAAGAGATCATTCACAAGCATTAACGACTGAATCTTATTTATTCGCAGATGACATTATCATATTAGCTGTAGACGGCTCTCTGCATATTCACTGAGAAACTGATTAGAGCGTTTGTAAATACCAATAAGTTCTGTGTTGATTATTATCAAATTGCTGTGAATTAAACTTCATGACAACTTACATATTTAAATTAGAAATATTGAGATTCAACCAGTAACTAATATTTAGCTATCAGGGAACATTATAGATCAGCGTTTCTAAATCAAAAAACAAATTGATTTAACTATTAAAAAAATGCCACTCTGGTATAGGAATATTAGCTCGAGCATCTGTCAAACTTCCAAAGTAACTTTTAAGTATAACGTACAAAAGACCTATGCGTAGCCAATAAGAATATGCCAGCCAGATCTGGACAAAGTGGGTTTTTTTAAAAAAAAATCCAATGAAATAGAATTTCTGGATTTTTTTTGAGTTTTTGGTTTTATAATTTAAGTTTTGAAAATTATTATTATGACGTTTTTTGCTAAAATTTTAATATCTGAAACAATTTTGTTATAATATTCATTGAATTTTCTGGAAATCATCATACTATGATTGTCATGCAGTCATTAATATTTGATTTTTTCATTTTAATAATGACATCTAGCATTTAAAAATAAAACCAAAAAAACCCTAAAACCATTTAAAAACCTAAAAAACCCAAAAACCCAAAAACCCACTTTCTGAAATAATAAAAAGTATTTTCCAGCTCTGATGCCAGCACATTATACAATCCAAAGCACAACTAAAAAAGCTTGAAGTAATACAAAAGCTATGTGTTTGAATTATCTATCACAAACCTAGGACCCATTCTGCTCCCCTATTAAACAAACTAAAGCTTGAAACCTTAGAAAAGAAAAGAAATGTTCATGCAACAGAAATAGTTGTGTCTGCTTTATCATGAATATGCCATCCATCTATGGCTAACATGTTTATAATGAATAAAGGAATAATCAAACCTTATAGTTAAAAAAGCAAAGAACCGCCAAGTAAGGTAAGGCTTCGATACTATTGGAGTCAACATTTTTAATAAAGTTAACACTGAATATCTATCTTGTATGCTATTGGCATATATTACTCCAGCAGTGGAAAAGGAACCGGCAAACGGCAATTAATGAACAGTTTAGAATAATCTATTAAAATCTTTAATTTATTTTATTAAATGTAAAGGCAAAGATATTCAACTGTAATTGAGTTTAAATAATAAATAATAATAATAATAATAATAGCAATAATATTAATAACAATAAAGAAACTTAATACTTATTCTGAAAAAAAAGTGTATGAAAGTGCAGTAAAACAACGTTGTTAAAATTTATTCTTTTCAAATTGTTGCAAACTTGAACATTTTCCAGCTGGTTTGATTAAAAAAAACAAATAAGACCTTAAGATTTGATAACAAACTTGGAGTAAAGGATAAAAGAAAAAAAAGCTTTCGAAATTATTAATTAAAAAAAAAAAATTTGCAGCTATTAGACTTTTCTATAAATTCAGAATGCAGTATTGTTGATTTTAATACAAGAAATAGACTTCCTCACAGTTCCGATAATTTAGTGCGCGCGAACATTTAACAGTACGTCATTGTTCCTTGTGCGCAGAATCGCATGAAAGAAAGTAAATACACAAATATATTATGAAAGCATTCTTGAAAGAAACAGTTGTTTACATGAGATTTCTTTACTTTTATTCATAATAAAAGTATCGATTTTGAATTATTAAACTTTCTTTTTAAATATTTTAAGGCTAAAATTATATTATTTATGTATTTACACTTTTTATATGTTCTTTTTATAGGATATATATGAAAGAAATAAAAGCTCTTAAATAATACTCTTTATTATTTGCATTTCACACATTTCGAGTGTGAAATGTGCATTGATAGTTGTATTTGTGTGTATTTATACAATATATATATATATATATATATATATATATATATATATATATATATATATATATATATATATATATATATATATATATATATATATATATATATATATATATATATTATATATATATATATATATATATATATATATATATATATATATATATATATATATATATATATATATATATATATATATATATATATATATATATATATATATATATATATATATAGGTACGCGCACTGAAATTTTTAAATTAATCATATAGTGCAATGTTATATATCATTAGAAAGGCCTTTAATACAGTATTTTAAAGGTGAAAAAATTATTAAAAACGAACAATTCTAAAAAAAGTTATAACGTTTTTAGTACCAAATTTAAGATATATGGAATTGTTGAAGAAACTGTGGTCAAAATAATTATTTTTTTCACTTAAATTATTATAACTTTGTCAATTTTCATCCAAATATCTATATCTTGGTATCAAAAGATAGGTGCACTAATGGGCTACAAGTTCATATAGGTGCCTGGACGTAGGGTGTATCTTGGGAGCCAGAGGGGGTAATGAAACACCATCTAACCCTTAAGAAAATACAAGTTTTTGTCAAAAATAAGCACTTTTTTAATGTAATTGTTAGATTTTATACATAAAATATTGCCATAACTTGATTCCAGAACACTGCCAAACAAAATAAGGTGATCGTAGAGTTGGCCGTAGATGTGGTTATGATGTTATAACACCCTAATACAATAATCATACATTCTAATAAATAATTTAATCTTTATTACAGTAATTAAATATTTTGTTAAAAAGTAAAAATATATTTTTTTACTATACAACATACATTAGTGATGTGCACACTAACTTTAGGGAAGGGCGTATGTCGCATCGCCCCCCCCCCCGCCCCTGCCCCAACGCATAACAAAAAATAAAAATAATTAAATCTTTATTACAATAACTAAATGTTAACAAGTAAAAATAATATTTTATTACTATTCAACATATATTATTGATGTACACATTGACTTTAAATAAAGGAAGTCTAATGCATCACCTCTCCCCCCCTCCCCACCTAACAAAAAATAACGTCATCTTTATTTCAATAATCAAATGTATTGTTAAAAAGAAAAAATAATCTTTTATAACTATACAACATACATTAGTATTGAAAATATTGTTGTATTACATGAAGCAATATTTTTTTTCTATAGAACATACATTAGTGATGTACAATTTGAGGAGAGGGATGGTTTTCCCCCTTCCCCTCAACCAACGTAAAAAAGAAAACACATAGAAATGATATTTTCAACATTTTCGCATGCAATTATTAAAAAAAGAAAGCACAATACAGAATTGTTTTACCAGATTGCACGAGTATACATTTTCTCATTTAAATAATCATATTTAACCAACCAACCTTATAAAAAACAAACAAACAAAAAAACAAATGTTTCGAAACATAGTAATTAATTTATGTCTTGGCTTTTAGTAAATGATTTAAATTAAGTTCCAATGCAACTAAATAAATCATTTTTAACAATAGACACCACGTGAAGGTAAGCCAGAGCCGCCTATCTTTTTTTTTTGCAAGCCACAAAACTTGCTATACCTATTTGCAAGCCACAAAACTTGCGGTACTTATTTGCAAGCCACAAAACTTGCGGTACACATTTGCAAGCCACAAAACTTGCTGTACCTATTTGCAAGCCACAAAACTTGCTGTATCTATTTGCAAGCCACAAAACTTGCGGTACTTATTTGCAAGCCATAAAACTTGCGGTACTTATTTGCAAGCCACAAAACTTGCTGTACCTATTTGCAAGCCACAAAACTTGCTGTATCTATTTGCAAGCCACAAAACTTGCGGTACTTATTTGCAAGCCATAAAACTTGCGGTACTTGTTTGCAAGCCACAAAACTTGCTGTACCTATTTGCAAGCCACAAAACTTGACTTAATTATTATACTAACTATTTTAAAATAAAATTACAAAGTTGTAACAAAAAATCAATATAGCAAATAACAAGAAATGTATATACATATTAAATGTAATAGTTTATTAAATTACTAGTTGCAAAAGATGACTAAGGAACTAAAGTTAAACATATTATAAAGTTTGCACATTAAAAACTAATAGTTGTTTAACTTACCAGGTGTAGCACAAGAGGTAGATACTAAAATTACAAAGTTGTAACAAAAAATCAATATAGCAAATAACAAGTTTTGTTTATACATATTAAATCTAATAGTTTATTAAATTACTAGTTGCAAAAGATGACTAAGGAACTAAAGTTAAACATATTATAAAGTTTGCACATTAAAAACTAATAGTTGTTTAACTTACCAGGTGTAGCACAAGAGGTAGATACTAAAATTACAAAGTTGTAACAAAAAATCAATATTAGAAATAACGAGAAATGCATACACATATTAAATTTATTATTTTTTTAAATTACTAGTTGCAGCAGCTGACTAAGGAACTAAAGTTAAACATATTGTAAAGTTTGCAAATTAAAAATTAAGAGTTATGTAACTTACCAGGTGTAGTACAAGAGGTAGATACTAAAATTAAAAAATTAATATTGCAGCAAATGGGAAATCCATACACGACAAAAATGCAAAGAAATGCATATTTATGTATATTTCTTTAATGGTTAATTGAAGTTATGCTATAATAACTTACCAGCTGTAGTCTGTGCAAATTGGCCTAAAGATAACAAAAAAGTTATATAATCAAAAAAAAAAAAATATCTTGAAATTGTCAACAGTCAATAAAAATAACAGTTATCAAATCAGTTCTGCTTTACGTACAACAACCTATGTAACTAAAAAAAAAGCAATAAAAAAAATAATAAAAAACATAAATTATATTACTGTATTTTAAAATTATATTACTGTATATTAGAAAAACACTAACAAGATACTTTTATAAGAATAAACATATTATTGTAAAAGTATCTTTGTAATTTTACAAAAATAAGCCTATTAATAATAAGCTTATTCATATAAAAATATCAATAATAATAATATTTTAAAATATCAATAATAATATTATTCTTAAAATATCAATAAAATCATAATATTATTCTAAAAAAATAATAATGTTATTCTAAAATTATCATTAATAATATTATTCTAAAAATATTTTGTCAAAAACTGTATTGGCTTAAGCCAATAAAGTTTTACTTTAAAGTATAATAATGTCATTTGTATATTTTTATATATATGGTGTATTTACAACATTGGCATCTGATACTATTAGTTAATAAAATATTCCAAAGTAACGGTTTAATCTTAAATCCTAATCTTTTTTAATATATACTATCATTGGTATAACTTATACCAAAGATTAAGGTTTTTAAACTTATACTATAAGTTTAAAAACCTTAATCTTTGTTTACATATCATGATGATATGTAAACAAAGATTAATGTTTTAAAACTTATAACTTTTTTAAATAACAAAACAATAATGATAAGTTTAAAAACCTTAATCTTTGTTTACATCATGATGATGTAAACAAACTTTGTTATTATCATGAAAAAGAAATTAACTTACTTTTTGAAGTCTTCTTTGTTATGACTTTTACCATTTTTTATTTATTAAAATAATCTAATATTAAAAATTAAATAATACAATGTAGTAAGAATTTTTTTGTTTACCATTTGCCACCCCCCTATCCTCCCCGTATTTCTCTTACCGATAAAACAAAAACAAAAACAAAAAAAACCGAATTTAGGTACCAAAAGTCCTACACTTCTTATACTATCTGCTCCCTAATATTTTTGGCTGAAATTTGGCATGTACAAAGAAAATGCATGCAAAAAAGTTCCTGAATAACAAAAAAAGCGGAAACTTCATTCCTTCGATAAGAACTTAATGTGAGAACATCAACGAAATTTTCATGAAAGTTTTTAGCAAAACTAACCATAAAAAAGTTTAGTGGTTATAAATAAAAGTACTATAAAAATCAAGCCTAACCTTTCTTCTTTCCAAATATACTTTTTGTTTATATATGTTTCTAAAAAAAAACACCACTAAAAACGTTAGTCTAACCATACTTCAAAAAAGCAGTATATTTAAAAAAGCACCTCGTTACATATCTGCTCCCTAATATTTTTCGTTGAAATTTGGCACATAAATAGAAAATACATGTATAAAGGTGGCTGAACAATCAAAAAAGCGGAAACTTCATGCCTTCGACTACAAATTTATGTGAAAACATCAACCAAATATTCAGGAGCAAAATAATCCGTTAAAAAGTTTAGTAACCATACATAAAAGTTTAAAAAAAATAAAGATCAGCTTCTCTTCTTTCCAAAAAGTATCTATGTGTATATATGTTTCTAAAAAGAAACTACACAAAACTACGTCTACCCCACGCTGCCTAAAAAAAAGTGAAAAAAACGAGTCACAAGATTTTATCACAAAAATCGGTTCAGTAAATGACGTAAATGCGCGTACCTATATATATATATATATATATATATATATATATATATATATATATATATATATATATATATATATATATATATATATATATATATATATATATATATATATATATATATATATATATATATATATATATATATATAAATATAATATATATACATATATATGTGTGTGTACAGGGTCGGGTATATATATATATACATATATATATATGTATATATATGTATATATATATATATATATATATATATATATATATATATATTTATATATATATATATATGTATATATATATATATATACATATATATATATATATATATATATATATATATATATATATATATATATATATATATAATATATATATATATATATATATATATATATGTATATATATACATATATATATACATATATATATATATATATATATATATATGTATATATATATATATATGTATATATATATATATATATTAGGTACGTGAGTATCGCGTTTTACGGAACCGAATTTTGTGCTAAAATTCTGTTTCACGTTTTTCGTAGTCTCTTAAAAGTTAGAGTGCTTGAGGAAGGCATTGTGGAATAACTTTTTAGTATTCGTTATCAACATAGATTATTTTTAGAAAGAAGAATAGTTGAAGCATTAGTTCAATTGGTTTTTAATTATACTCACTTAATTTATTAACGAGTTTATTGATGTCAAAATTTTGGTTGTACTTCTGTGGTGAATTTAATGTCCAGGATAAAGTCTTTTTTTTTTCTATCCATTTTTTTTATTAAATTTATTCATTTATCTATACACCTGCCAATTTTCGTTGAAAAATATTTTGTAGCAGTCACATTATTTCTTGCTGCACTTTTGTTACCTAATTTACATTTTACCTGATGTTGGCGCGGGAGACAGAGGGGTATATTGATTGTTTTTATTTATATTTATTTTACATATATAATATTCATATTAGCAATATTTGCCTTATGTCATAAATTGATATTGTAAACCTAGATATTTTAGAATAAAAATATAGTTAAAAAATTTGTACATTTAAAAGAAATTACTTTAATAAAACGATTTTTAGTAAATATTAAAATAAGACTTTGATTTTATATTTGATTTAGAAATAAAATGGAGGAAGAAAGTAAAGGTTTCATCTAGTATTTCATCTAGTAATTTATTAATAAGAATTAGATGTGAATTAAATTATTGATGAATCATATCTAATTTTAAGATTGAACGTTATTTTTATTTAATAAGAAATATCTTTATGGATAAGTTGTTTCGATATAAATTTATTAAACTGTTTTTAAATTATCTGGCCACTATCTAAATCTTTATGTATTACTTAAATATTTCTTTCACTGTTTTAGATAAACAAAGTTGTAGTGCAGCCGACAACATCAGTTAGTTACTTTCTGTATTCAATAGCTTAGTAGTTATTAAATAGATGCTATTATAATATATGTTCTATATATATATATATATATATATATATATATATATATATATATATATATATATATATATATATATATATATATATATATATATACATATATATAAATGATATTAGTTTTCTAATACAGTTCTTTATTATGCCTGTGTAGATAGTTGTCTAACAATATTATTTCTTGTTAGTTGTATTTTTGTATACTTAATACTTACATTTTTTTAAGTCACTCTTTTTTTTCTGTAGACAATTTAGAACAAACAATCAGTAAGTTAAGTTTGAATTGTTTTAGTTACTATATCATTTAAAGTATTTTTATGCTGTGTTAGTATTCCTTGTTGAATAAATGTTTTGATTTAAAAGTTTTTTTTAAAAGATTTAAGTTTAAGAAAAAAGATTGTTAAATGGTCAATTAATGTAGCACATAAAAACAGATTTAAAAATCAACTGCATCGATGCAAAGTGAGAGATGAAATTTGCCAAAGACAAAAAATCAAGCGCCAAAAAATGGATGAAAAAGAAAAAAGAAAGTTAGAGCGTGAGCTATCCAAATTGAGTTTTAACGAAATTATTAATTCATGCAAGCGCTTGTCCAATGACCAACTATTTGATTTAGAAGATGTCATGTCAGATAGAATTGTTCGGAAGAAACTAGAACATGAATGGTACGATCCACAAACATGCAAAAGTGTTTTATATAGTGAAAGAGTAGAAAAAGTTAATAAAAGAAAAAATAACTTTATTTAGACCATTTCTTACTGGAAAGATGATGAAACTGATATTGGAGCTGTTGACTATTGCATGAAAAAGATCCAGCTTGCTGCTGATGTTGTTTTCAGTGAGTTACAATTTAATTAATTTAATAACACTGCAAGTGTTGTGACTTGTCAAAAATATGTTGCAAGTGTTGTGACTTGCATAAATAATATTTATTTTGAAACAGGAAATTTGTTTATTAACCGAAGAAAATGGTTAGCTTGTTAACCATACTGTATGGTTCTGTTAATGTGAGAATCACATGAAAGACAATAATATAGGTATTTGCTATACTTGGTTATAAAGATGACATGTTTTTTAAAGCCAATTGACTTAATTATAGCCCCACAATAGTAGTTGTATAATTTTTTTAGTAATATATAACCAATTAAATAATAATATTAGGTTAGAGGGAGAAAAAACTCATAGTAGATATGTTGATGATGTTTTAAAGGGGAAAGAGGCATTCTAAATGCCTCTTTTCTTTCTTTCCCCTTTAAAACATCATCAACATATCTACTATGAGTTTTACATTCATCTTCCATATTTGATGGTTGTCTGATATGAATTTATTTTTTAATTTATTTCCAATTTCATAATTTCATTTTTAAATTTATTATTCAAATTTTGAAAACAGTAATTGTATATATTTTTTTTAGGATGGGTCGGTGGGGGGGCATACGCCCTTCTGTAATAGAAACACCACTTGTAGACGTAAGATCATGTATAAAATAATTTTATATTGCATACTAATTTTACACATTTCAGTAAAGATATAAATATAAAATCAAGTCGTTTTTGATACTAGGGTGTAACAAACCACCACCACCACACCCACCTCTATTGCTAACATACACCTCTCATATATTTTAATGGTTAAGTATAAGTTTAAACAATTTGTTTTAATATTTATATTGCTTATGTCTTTAAAAAAAACTTTTTTTCTGAAAAAAGTGTTCAGTTTCGCACGGGTATGGTGGTGGTTTGGTGCCCCCTCTGTCCGTCCGAAACGCCCGGTGGTTAGAGTTTAACATAAAGTTGTAGCCCACTCTTACACCTATCTTTTGACACTAAGATATTTGTTTTTCGATAAGAATTGACAAAGTTATGACAATTTAAGTAAAGAAAAACATTATTTTGACCACAGTTTCTTCAACAAATCCTAATATCGAAAAATCGGTACTTAAACCGTCATAACTTTTGAACCAATTGTTCGATTTTGATAACTTTTTCACCTTTAAAATACTGTAATAATCCTCTTTCTAATGATATATAACATTATAGTATTCAAACAATTTGAAATTTTTACTCACGTACCTATATATATGTATATATATATATACATACATATATATATCAGGCGCGGATGCAGCATTTTTTGATGTTTGAGATACCTAACTTCCAGACATGGAGCAAACTCCAAAAATTTATATGTTTATATTTATATCAAATAAGGACGCTTTGCAAAAAATTGCAATGATTGGAGCCTGGGAACAAAAAAGCCCTAAAATTTTAGCTACACCTGCTCCAAACGTGAGAGCAGCAAATTGATAAAATAATTTTTATACTATTCTTAACTAAATCTATTTTCATCGACAAATTTTAGAATTAACACAAAAATCTTTTAACGTTCAAAAACTATGACCATAAAAGGTTTGAACCCCCCTCAATTTGAGGGGGTTGCAAACTTTATAAGGCCATAATTGTTGAACGCTAAGAGAATATTGGGTGAGTTTTAAAATTTGTCGATGAATATAGATTTAGTTAAGAATAGTATAAAAATTATTTTATCAATTTGTTGCTCTCACGTTTGGGGCAGGTGTAGCTAAAATTTTAGGGCTTTTTTGTTCCCAGGCTCCAATCATTGCAATTTTTTGCAAAGCGTCTTTATTTGGTATAACTATAAACATATAAATTTTTGGAGTTTGCTCCGTGCCTGGAAGTTAGGTATCTCAAATATCAAAAGATGCTGCATCCGCGCCTGTATATACATATATATATGTATGTATATATATACATATATATATACATATATATATGTATATATATACATATATATATATATATGTATATATGTATATATATACATATATATATGTATATATATACATATATACATATATATATATATATATATATATATATATATATAGTATATATATATATATGTATATATATATGTATATATATATATATATATATATATATATATATATATATATATATATATATACATATATATATGTATATATGTATATATGTATATATGTATATATATGTATATATAAAAATTACTATTTAACAATATTTTTTCCCAAAAGCTCATTTTTATTAATCAATATTAAATACTTTTACACTCAACGTACAAATTTGTTTTTTCCTTGATTATAAATATTATATAACAAAAACATATAAACAGTATAGATTTTAAACTTAAAATGGGTAAAATAAAATTATATTAAACTAAATCAATGTCTTTTTTGAAAAAAAATTAAAAAAAAATCTCATGTAAACAACTGTTTCTTTCAAGATTACTATCTTAATTTATATGAGTATTTACTTGTTTTCATGCGATTCTGCGCATTAAGTACCATGACGTAATATTAAATATGCGCGCACATGAAATTATCGGAACTGTGAAGACGTCTATTGACATTTTATTGTTGTTTTTCTGTATCATTTAGTCCATTATTGTGTGAACATGAAAAATATGTTTTTATTGCTTTAAACAAATCTTAATTTTCTAATTTTATGACTTTCTTGGACCAGCAAATTATCAACTTTCATATATTCAGCTAAAGGAGTTAGAGAAGGTTGAAACAAAATAATTGTCGTTAACTTTGAAAAAGCACAAGCATGTAATTTTATATCAGTGTATCAAAACGATGTGGCAACATTTCAGAAGTGTGGAATAATGAAGTATACTAATTTTTAAAAACTTTTTTTTGTCTATAAAAGGATTTATAATTCAAGACTTCCCGACAAGAAAAGTATATGTGGGCCATATGTGGCCGTATGCTTACAAGTGGAATAAAAGTGTGAAACTATATTCCAGTTGATGATTGATATATATGCTGATGATCAGTGTGGCCCACATGTGAAACACGTAATGCATACACATAATTATTCCACTTAGTGTGGAATGATCTTTATATAAATACGTGCTAAACTAGATGTGGCTATCGTATGAGCCATGCATGTAAAACACACAATCTTTCCTTATTTTGAATTTTAAATGTTTACCAATTGTAAACTACAATTCCATTGCAATGCATTATAGTAAACTCTAGAATATTCCATGATACCATGTGGTTTACAGTTTTGATAATTTACAGTTCATAGTTGTAAGTATGTTTAAGCGGTTTTGTTATGAATATATTTTAGAATTAATAATCAAAATAAATTTCAATAAAATTTGAAAATCAAAGTTAAACTTTACAAATAAAAATTTGTTGTTATACTTAACGAGTTATACTTGACGAGTTATACTTAACGAGTTATACTTAACGAGTTATACTTAACGAGTTATACTTAACGAGTTATACTTAACGAGTTATACTTAACGAGTTATACTTAACGAGTTATACTTAACGAGTTATACTTAACAAGTTATACTTAACGAGTTATACTTAACGAGTTATACTTAACGAGTTATACTTAACGAGTTATACTTAACGAGTTATACTTAACGAGTTATACTTAACGAGTTATACTTAACAAGATATACTTAAGTTATACTTATTCTAAACAGAGTTATACTTAACGAAAAAAAAATTGTAATCAGAGTTATACTCAACGAAGATAAAAATATCTTAATATATTGTGTTTGCTATCAGAAAAAACATTAGATCTTTTTCTCTCGATTTTTTTTCTACATGGATTTCTTATGAAACCATCTTTAGCTACTGTTCAAAGACTTTGTACTAGATAAAGAATTTAAAGAAAATATTGCGTCTTCATTGCATGATTCATCAAATAAGTTTTGTGTACAGTACTAATACAGAATGAATTTTTTAAACTTAATTAAATTTGTTGTACGTATATATTTATCTATGAATAAAATTATAAATAAAAGCAAAAAGTATGATGTTTTTCCATTTAAGTTATTTGTCTGGTATTCATATATAAATAAGTATACGTACCGTATGATACTTATTTGTATAGGTACATATGTATAATTATTTGTATATTCTTTACATAAACAAAACTACTGACTTGTTTAAATATGATATTTAAACAAATCAGAAGATTTGTTTATGTATTTGTTTTAATTTTTTTAGGAAAATTATGCGGCTTATGTTCTTTTTTAGTGTGAACACTGAATAAGAACGAAAGCCGCATTATTTTATCCCAATAAAACCGCATGTGGTTTTAATGGGATTAACATTATAGCCACATATGGAACGCACAAACGCCATCCCATAAAGGAGAGTGGTAAATATATGGCTTGCATATGCTTACCACACGTTGCCTGCATGAAACTTTTACGTAAAAATGAAGTGTTGCTTTCGTTCCTATTTAATGTGGTTTTAGTGGGATCGACATTATGGCCACTTATGGAACGCATCAATACCATCCCATAAAGAAGAGTGGTAAATATATGGTTAACATGCAATGCCATATATGGCCCACATGAAAATTTCTTGTCGGGTAGCATCCTAATTAGTTTATGTTATTTCATAGTTAATAACCTTTTAAAAATGCTTGTGTGCTTGAATGTCTTTGTAAAATTGAAATTTTGTTTCTACAATTTTTTTTTTTGTTTATATATTTTGTTATTTTTTTCGCAAATTGCAATTTTTTCACTTTAATGTTTAAGTGTTTACTCTTATGTTTGGTTTTAATACAAAAGAGGGGTAGTTTGTTAACTTATGGAAAATATACCCACCCTGAGCGTAAGTAAGTTTTTTTGGAAAATATACCCATGTTATTAAAATTAATTAAATTCATTCGTTTATCAAATTTCACTTATTATCAAAAAAAAAATTGTCTTCTGATAAAAATAAAAACTTGAGTAAAAAGGCTTAAAAATGTCAAATTTAAACTAATTTATTAAAATGTAAACTTTTGTTGTAATCAGCCACTAAAAATTCACTATCATTAAACAAGAATTCAAAGGTTATTGAGTTTTTAATAAAAACTGAGGAACTTGTATTATTGTTGTTATACGTTTATGAGTTGCTTGTCCCAGAATCCTTAGTTTTAGTTTATTCAATATTTGTGTGACGAATACAAAACGGTACCCTAATCTTTCTTAAACACCTTTTGCGTCTACTAAGTTAGCATTATTTACCGTCTAATGATGGTGTGAGCTATTGAGTCAAATAAATAAGATATAACAAAAAATCTGAAGGAAATAAAGTTAGTACACACCCCGTTTGAAGTAGATTCAAAACAAAAAAAAATGTCCCAGAATCATGTCGTACTTTTTTTAAATCTTTATTAACAATTACTTTAAAAAAATTTTTCAGGGTCCAAGAATAAAAGTTTTTTGAAGAGCCAAAAAGAACAAATAAAGCATAAGTTTTCCTGCATCTTCTCAAGTCTTTTGTGACTCAGGAGTGAAGAAATTTGATCTTGGTAATAATCTATACCATAATCTCATGATTTTAGTAATTGAAGAGTCTGTAAAAGAATCTTATCCAATCTTGAAGCAAAATTTACTGTTGCTTTGTCTTGAAAAGTTGTTTTTACACTGCTGCTGTGGACATGAAACTTGGAAATGCTTTTCTTGGATTAGGTACAAATGCATCCACTTATCCTTGCTCTTGGTATAAAACTTCAAAAAAGATTTTGAAAATCAAGAAATGACAGAATATTACGGAAACTTAGGATGATTAGATCCAATGCCAATAATTTTCAGAAATATCTCAGTGCTTGCTTAAAATAATCGGCAGCAAACTTAAATAGTTAACGAACATTTCAATGCTTAAACTTCCAGTTGAAAAACAACTCTAGATACTTTGCCAATCGTGGAATCGCACATCGTTCTGGGAATTACCAACAGGCCATTTGATTACTTGATAACCATCTTTAGCAAAACCAGTTATTGCTCTTTGAAAGCAACTGATCAAACAAACTTAGCACCTACAGGCCACCTGAATTCTTCATAATGGAGGAGAATTCAATGAAAAAAATGTTAAACACTCAAAGCAGTCAGACAGACATGCTTTGCTAATGTTCAAATTTCCTCCTTAAAACATTCTATACTCTCTTTTGAGAAAGCATACAAACCCCTTGGAATTTCAATTACATCTAAGTTTCATGCTGTTATCAAGCATGTATATACATGAGCTTATTGATAATTAGCCTAAAAAGCATGATGTTACCCAGCAGAGTATTTTTCCAAATCTACTAAAACTTTTTAAAATGAGGAGGCATCCAAATCAGTTCAAACCAATTTTGCCAGACTATGGTAAACAGGTGCTTAGGTGATATAATGTCTATAAGGTCTTCGTTTGTCTTTGAACGCAAAAACTTCTTTGAAAAAATTTTGAGAGATTTTTTAAAGTCTTTACTTCTTGCTTCGAAGTCTTCCTAATTGGCAATACCATTTGATCAACAACCTGCCACTCATGTATCAAGATTTTGTGCAAACTCTGTGGCATGTAGTACCAGGGATAAAATTGTAAAAATAGCTGTGCTGTTTCCGAGCAAAAGTCTTTGAATTTATCCGCATCAATCATTAAACCAGATGACAAAGTACACAGCACAACATATATCCTTTTATTTAAATGCACGTCAACACTGATAATTGCTACTGTTTGTTCAGCATTTCTGAAGAAACGTTGGGCAGTATTGCCGTTATTTGATGATCCAGAACCACCAGACCTAGGGATATCAATCACCAGCTCAACTTCATTTCTGAACCTTGATTGAATGAAATTATTTTTAACTTTAATTTTCTCTTTTTCTGCATCTGACCTTGATGTCCATTTCTTCACTTCAGCTTTGTAGCTAACTTTTAACAAACACTCCGTGTTACAAATCCATGCATGAAGTGTTGTCAAGCAATATTTCAATCCGGTTGGAGGTAATGGCAAACTGCAAACGATATTAAGTTGGTTCATTTGACTTGGTGTTGAACCACAAACTGAGCAGCTCTGACTTGAATTAGTACCTGAATTAGATAATGCACTTCTTCATCTATCATAGCAACATCAACTCTGTGAAGAACATTCACGTTTTCATACGTAGGCACAGCAGTTGTAGTCAATTTTCCAATAGCATTTTCAAGATATTGATGCTCTGCATTAATTACATCAGTTCTCCTTTATAAACCTAAACCGCTCAATTTGGCAGTACAACGTTGATGACGGATCTAAATTTCTCCAAACAATCTTCTCCACTCGACCAGAGAACTCTGTCAATTCAAGTGGTGCAAAGCAGGTAAGAAACAAATTTACTTCTTGGACAAAGCTTCTGTTTTCCAGCTCATCAGTAACTTGTGTATAAAGGTTTTGCCCATTTGACTCATCAAAACCTACCTTTGAGTGTAGAATTAGCCTATCAAAATCAAACGAATTTATAACATCATGTTGTATTTCCAACAGCCACAGACAAGACAAGACAAAACAAGATTTATTTTCCTTTTCAAAATTTACACATAACCATATAATAACAATAATAATAATATTATCTATAATAATACAAACAATATAATTATAATAAAATAATAAGAGTAAATATAAATAATTATTTGAAAAGAATGGTGTCACTCAAACATAAGCCTGATCAAAGGAGTGACACCAAATAATTATTTATATTATATTACACAAACGAAAAAGCAAAACACTAAAACTACAAGATGAAACACAAAAACTACAAAACGAAAAGGCAAACACAAATACTTCTACAAAATAAAATTAAATTAAAAAATAAAGACAAACTAGTTATTTTTGAGAAATAAAAAAAAAGGT